GAACAATATGTGAGGCAAGGATGTGGCAAAATGGGAGCCCTCTGGTCCTGCTGGTGCTAACATAAAATGGCACAGACACTTCAGCAGAGCCTGAGAGCTCATCAAAAGGTTAGGTGTTCAGTTGCCACATGACTCAGAAACTCAACTCCGAAGAAAAATAAAAGCATATGTTCACATTCAAATTTGATTATAAATGCCCATGCTTCGTTGTTTGTATAGCCCATCGGCCAAGAAGTCTGTAAACCAATGAGGCGTATCCATGCAATGGAGTATTGACTTTGAAAAAGAAATAAGGAAATAAAGAATTTACAGATGCACCCTACAATAAGCATGAACTTTGGTGAGCTCATGCTGTGGAAGAAGCCAATCACAATGGGCCACATTTTGTTTGGTTCCACTTATATTGTAATGTCTTGCGTAGGCAAATCTACAGCCTGCATGTAGAAAAGGGACTGCCAAAGGCTGAGACTATGCGAGGAAGGAAAGAGAAAAGGGTGGCAGTCGGAGAATGGCTAGAGGGTCCCTGTCATATTGGTGGAGAGGTAATGAAAAATTGCCATTCACTCTGTCAAGCAATAAATGCACAACTGAATTCATCAGAACCATGAAATCGTACATATTAAGTGGGTGAATTGCATAATGTATGAATTATCTCAATAAAACATTTTCTCTAATACTAATTTGATTTTAGGTACTCTACTACAGAACTACCAAGTATGGCCATCAGAATTAGCTCGGTCAACAAGATGTGAGCAAGTGTTTTGTCTGGAACTTCATAGAAGCAATTGAAAGAGAATGGGCTGTTAGAATACTTGCCTTTTGGTCTTTTGTTTAGTTTCTGTAACTGGCCTAAAACTCATATAAAATGACCAGCAACTATTTGAGGACTTGAGCTGACTTTGAAGCTGGAAATCACATGCTGAGAAAGAAAAGGAGAATTAGGAGCTTGGGTCTGAGTGACCCTGGGGGGCCATACTGCAGCATTCCTTGACTGCTTGCCTCTAGACTGTGTGTGTGTTGGGAGAGCCCCGCCAAAGGTCAAAAGTTGATGTTGGGTGTTGAAAGTCTTCCTTGATTGTATTTATTTATTTATTTATCTATTTATTTATTTATTTATTGTCTCTCACTGAACATGAAGCTCACTGTTTCATCCAGGCTGGCTGGCCAGTGAGCTCCTGGGATCCACTGTGTCCCAGCTGGCGTTACAGTTGCATGCCACCACATTCAGCTTTTGCATGGTACTGCGGCTCAGGTCCTTGTACTTGCATAGCCATCCACCAAACCATCTCCTCAGCGCCCCCAACACTTTTTTTATTGTTGTTGCTGTAAACAGGGCCTTGCTGTATAGCCGGGGATGACCCAAACTTGTAGCGACCTGTCAACCTCTGCCTCCCAAGTGCTGGGTTTGGAGATAGATGTGTACCACTACATCTGGCCTTATACACCTTAGATTTGATACAAGCTTTCATCTTGTTTAAGTTCCTGCTATTTTTAATTTTCTTTTAAATGGACAGCCTAATCCTCTGTAGCTAAAATTGTGCTCTGCAGAGCCGATACCCAAAGCCCCTTCCCCTTCCTCCCACAGTATGTTGGCATTCTATAAACCAAATGACTTTTTTGGATCCCAAATGGGGAAGTCATCTCATGAATTCAGAAAACAAGACTGTCTGAATCATGTGTGCAAAGCTCTGGAAGGCCAGCCCCAGCACTCATTTTTTTTTTTTTTTAAAGCTAAGATAAAGAGTTCCTATGCAAAGAAAGAAAAGAGGATGGTGACATAAATCAACAACGGAGGGTAGCTGACAGACAAAAAGTGACTTCAAGAGGAACTTGGCTTACAGCTCGAGTTGAGTCCATAGTGGCGACGTCATGGTGGCGGGGGTATGAGGCAGCGGATCCCATTGTGTTAGCGGCAGTCAGGAAGCTGGTGATCAGCTAGCGTCCTCCTTTTTATGCAGTCTGAGACCCAGCCCACACACTGGTGGCACCCACATTTAGGGTGGGTAATACCAGCCCAATGAACTCAACCAAGGTTTTCGCAGAGTCTTGTCTCCTGGGCGATTCTAGCATCTGTCAAATTGTCAGACCATCTAAACCATCACAGAACGGATTGTTAGATGCTGAAAAAGTCGAGGGAGTTTTACTTTATTCTGCACGGGGGAAAGCCACGGGAAACCAAGGAAGACTTGGCAAAGAGTCATCTGTACATATGCTGTAGTAAGTGGTAAGATTACGGCAAGCTAAGTTTCCTCAATGGGAGAAGAGAAAACAAATGCAATGAGCTTTTCCAGACACGGAGATTAATTCACAGCCAGCGCTCCTGGAGTCGAGCCCCTGAGAACCCTCAAAGAAGGTGATGGGATAAAAGCATTTGTTCTCACAAATGTGGAAAGACCGGAGTTTCTCACTAGCTAAAATGGTCCTTTCTCAGCTTGTCACCCTCACTGCCTTAAGGGATGTCCTGGCACACAGATGTCATCACACGGGTTTCTGGTTTGGCTTTGGAAGTCCCAGAAGTCTGTGTTGCCCACAGAGACTGGAAAATGCGGATCGTTCACCTAAAAGCAAAATTGGGTATTTTCTATTAGTGATGTTTTCCTTCAGGCTTCAAAAATCCACATCTTGTCATTTCATCTGGTTCTCATAACTTTTCTTTAGGGTGGGTCGGGCTGAAGGGTATCCCCAGTTCTCAAAAAATGTAACATCTACCTTAGTTCTTTGGTATGGTCTAGAATAAAACACAGACCTGTCTCCTGCGCTTTTTCTTGTGATCACTGCATCCCAGAGCCCTCTTCTCGGGCCAGGACATTCAGCATCACCCTTAGAGCTAGGGCCAGGTCCACAGGGATGCAGTTTTCATCTCCTCATCCTCTCTGAGATGGCACTCATTCAGACTTCCTCTTCACCGTCCCTAAAATGCTGGTCTGCTTTTTCAGGGCCATAATCGACTGTCTGCAGGTTATTCTGAACATGTGGTTCATGCGGATTTTGGTAAAGGAATCGTGGGTCAGCTGAGGTTGTGAGCATGAGCTCTGGTATCTGCCCACTCTGACAGCCCCCTTGGTAACCCTCCCAGCCCCATAACTCTGTACGGCTATTTCCTTGCCTACAAAACGCATGTGATGATGCTGCCCACATGTTAGGTGACGAATAGGTGAACATGAGCATGTAAAGAAATTTGCACAGAGCTAAAAAATATTAGCTGAGGGATGGGAAGTAGAGGAGAAGGAGGAGGAGAAAGGAGTGTGAGGGAATCCAAAAACAGTCTTTTCGTATTTAAATGGCTACAGAGGAAGTGAGGCAAATTCTGTGTGCCAGAGCTAAGGACTAACTTATGCTCCAAATAAAGAGCATTTGGACCTCTAGACTGTCCTCTGGGAAGGGAATCTGCCAAAGGGGATGGCAGGGAGGGGAAGGGGACCTTGCTCCTTCAGGATTCAAACTGAGACCTCCAGCTTCAAGTGGGGATCCAGATCAGTACCTTTCCAGCGTCTTTCTAGCCAGTGTTTCTGCAAAATAAATAAAGGAAGCTTTAAGTGACCAACAGCCAAAAGGTCTTTGAGGACTTTAGAGCTATGGTAGCCCAGCAATGAAGGACCCATTTTAACTAAAGTGCAAGCTTCCAAAGGCTATCCATACCGCCTCCAATTCAGAACCCACTGACACCCTCAGCAGAGTGGCTCACATTTGGAAAGGGGAGAAAGTTCACATGAAGACGTGTTCTCTTTGAATCTTACAAAAGGTCTGCTCTCCCCTCCATTCATCAGCTCCAGTCCCAAAGAACTAGACCACACCCTCCCCAGCAGGCTACCGTAGACCAAAGTAGCCCCAGCTTTTCACACATTCAGAACCAGTACAACTGAAACTCAAAGCTTCCCTGTCCTAGCTGGCCACACTGCCAGATCAAGAGAGGAGATTCCAGAGGGAAAATTTAGACACAGGATCTACCAGGGACTGCCTTTCAGTTCTAGTGTCTGTGAAAATGATTTCTTGGTCTGGTTGCCCCCCGGGTCACTGAGAGAAGTTATTTTCCCATCTCATGTGGTCTGTTGGGACTGCCAATCACAGCCATCTTTGGCTCTAACGATCCCATGACCGGGGCCTGGCCAACCGTAGAACAGACTCCATTCTCTTGCCTCGAGTGCCTGTGTCAGGACAAGAGCACGTGACTCATGCAGGCCCAATAAGCGCCTTCCACGGATGCTGCGCTCTCCTGAATCCTGAGAGAGATGCTGATTCTCTTGCATGATGGGTAATTAGGGTCCTGTAAGGATGGCACTGCCAGAGGTCATCTTTACCAACCCAGGAAGAGAAGAACTTCCCAGAGGGAAGTCAGAAGAGTAAACAGACAGTGACAGGGGCTGCCCCCACGGTTTGTGCACCCGTGGACAGCTAGAATTTAAACAGCTCAACTCCTGGACTTGTATTAAAATTAAATTTCTGTCACTTACAATCCCCAAAGACCCGACTGATTAAGTCCAGACAAAGCAAAGTGTCAGGTTACATCTGCCCAAGAGATACAAGAGGTCTTTTCATGGTATCGTTCATTGCAAGGGGAATTCAGGACAACCTAGGGCTGGGGGGAACATTTGGTGAGAGATAAATATTAAACCCAGAAAAAAAGACTTTACTTTCTCGCTGTCATTCTTGCTAGCTACCTAGGATCAGTCACTCTAAAATTCACATTCTAGCCCATGGTGGGTGCAAACTAGGTCTCTTGGCATCATATAACTGATCTAACTTTGAAGACATAGGCTTGCCTCAGTTCTTAAAATAAAAATCCCCCACATTTGTGTCAATCATGTAGCCAATTAAGAGGCCTCCAAATGACAAGCCACCAGATCGTCAAGGTACATTAAAGACATGGAGGAAGTTTCTGATAGTTGGGATAATTAGTCTGTCATCTGCTGCCTGGCCAGTTCTGTTTGCCAGAAAGAATGTGAGGGAGTACGGGACTATTTTAACAGGTGATTTGGGGAGCAGACACACTGAGCTTTCACCCGATAAGCCCAGGGCATGGGCGCTGGGGGTACGGGTGAGTGTGTGTGTCTGTCTGTCTGTCTGTTTGTCTGTGTCTATGTGTGTGTGTATCTGTGTATATATGTCTGTGTGTTTGTAAGTATATGTATATGTGACTGTGTGGGTTGGGGAGTGTGCGTGTGTGTGTTTCTGGCATCTAAAGATGGCCAAGGTGAGCCTCCACCCTGTAGCCTCATGTCTTTGTAAACCTCAGACTTCCTTCAACTATACATCTGCCTTCAAGAGACTTTAGACCAATGGTTCTCAACCTGTGGGTCAAGACCCCTTTGAGAGTCACGTACCAGATATCCTGCATATCAGATATTTACATTATGGTTCATAACAGTAGCAAAACAGTTATGAAGTAGCAACAAAATAATATTGTGGTTGGGGTCAGCACAACATGAGGAACATGTATTAAAGGGTCGCTGCATTAGGAAGGCTGAGAACCACTGCCCTAAACAGTTCGCCCAGCAGCTGCCTGCCTCCCTGTCTTGCCTCCAGACCTGAACCTTTGAATGCACAAATTAAGCTTCAGATTTTATTCTTCCCTAAACCCCTTTCTAGCAACCCACGGATATCTTCAATGAGCACTGATTGCCTTCCTCATCCCAGATGTCAAGAGAGCACCGAGTGAAAGATGCCGCTCTGCTCTCAGAGACAGAACAGAAAAGCTATGCCTAATTCATAGAGGACTGGGCCCCTCCCACCCACATCCTCCTTGGAGAAGAGGGCCCATAGCGCTCTACTGTGAGAGCTGCAAAATAACACTATAAAAATGTTTATATACACATGAGGTCCCCAAGGCAACCTACACGACACAATGAGCGTGTTGGAAGCAAACCGAGATAAAGAAAATGCTATTTGCTGGCACCTTGTTGGAGAGATCTGCGGGTGGCTAGAGGAAATACTGTAGCATCCAGCTTGCAACCCGGGATGGAATCAGCCGCCTTCCCAAGAAGGTGAGGCCAGGGAGCACAAGAAGGTGAGGCCAGGGAGCACTAAGGCTCGCACACGGCAGGGGAGAGGTACAAGCCGGGAGGGCGAGAGGGCGGCAGGCGTCACATGACTGAGGATGTGGAGGCTAAGAGGCAGTAGCTGCCCTCCCCACAGCACAAAGCCTTCTCTCCTGTGCTGGCTACCGCCACCATAAGGAATTAGCAGTGTCCTAGAGGCTTACAGAAGGTTTGTTTTCTCTTACAGTTCTAGGAGCCAGACTCTTACGGAGCTCAATCCAACACGCGAATGCTGGCAAAGCTATGCTCCCTCCGAGGGTCTCAAGGACAGTCTGTTCCTATACCTTTCTCCATTTTCTTGAGCTGTGTTCCTCGGCTCATGGCCTCACATCCACCTTCCAAGCTAGCGTGGTAGCATCTTCCTTTAAAAAAAAAATTATTAAAAATTTTAAACTTTATGTGTATGGTTTGGTTTGGTTTCATTGGTTAGCTGGTTTGCTTGCCTGCATGTGTGTCTTGTACACTTGGTATACATAAAGGCCAGAAGAGGATGTGGGACCCCTTGGGACTGGAGTTACAAACAGCTGTAAACTGCCAAGTGGGTGCTGGGAATCAAACCTAGGTCCTCTGAAAGAGCAACCAGTGCTCTTAACCATCGAGCTCTCTCTCCAGACCCAGCATCTCCCTTCTCTCAGGGCTTCCCTTTGGGCCTGTCACAGAGGCCTCCTCTCTTCTGCCTGTGTCAGATTTCCTTCTGTCTCGTGAGGACACTGGGCCCACGTGGATAATTCAGCCATCCCTTATTTTGTGAACCTCTGCAAAGATCTTTACTCTTTATCATATAACATTAATAAGTTAGTGATCCTAGGACCTGACTCTTTAAGAATCATCGATAGCCTACACATCCCAATCTAGACTGGAAAGTGATGTTGTGTTTATGGACCAGTGGAAACAAGCACACAGCCTGTTAGTGAGCGCTCCAATTAATCCAGGAACACTTCCAAAATCTCTATTGAAAGTATAAACTAATCCTTTCTCTTGGGTTCAGCAATTTCTCCTAAGGATTCATCAGCTTAGCCCTAAGAATTCAACATAGCGTGTTTGTTTGTTTTTTATAATTAGCTTTTCCCATACAATATATTTTGATCATGTTTCCCCTGTATTCTCGACAATGGATGTGCAAGGATTATTTTTTTGGTATTGCTTATAGCAGCTACGTTTGCAAACGGCCTAAATAGCCTAGCTGTGGGGCCTGGGTGGACATGCGAAGGAGCTTCCGTAGCATGGGATGTGGTGTCAAGCAGAATGACACAGAACTATGTGAAAAAAAAGTCTTCAAGGTAAGAGACTACATTGTGGCGTGAGACACCATGCAGGTGTCGCAAAACTCAGCTCACACCCCAAAAGGATAGGATGGTCAATTCTGCACCAAATGTGAATGACCATAGCCTGTGAATACAGATCCCGGCTGCCCAATAATAACACGTTCCATTGCAGAAACTGTAATGTGAACGTTTTTTTGGGGGGGCACAGGACAAAATGAAGTCATAAATCAAACACAATGCAGAAACCCGGGTAGGGAACTTACAGTGAAGCTGGGCAAACTTCTTTGTAGGCTCTAGACACTATCTGAAGACATCCTGAGATTTTTGGATGGGTGGAAGCTAGCGATCTACCGACTCAATACATCCCAAATGTTTCACCTGTTAGTTGAATGAACGTTAGTTCCAACACAAAGGTGGGCAATGAACGGCTATTAATGGGACTGAAGAGAGCCCAAGAAAACCTGGCTCTTAGTTTGCTGCGTTCCAACTCTCCACAATCACAAAGTTCTAATCAGTCAGCCTCAAAGAATTAAAAAAAAAAAATTGGTTGTGTGCATGAATGCGTGTGTGTGTGTGTGTGTGTGTGTGTGTGTGTGTGTGTGTGTACATACAGACCACAGTGAACTGTGGAGGTCAGGGGTTGACTTTGTAGTATTCTATCTCTTCTTCCATCTTTACTCGGGTCCTGGGGATCAAATGCAGGCATCCATGTTTCCATAGTAAGTGTCTTTACCTGCTGAGCCATCTTACCAGCTCTATCCCTGATGAGTCTTTAACACAGGTGTGGCTTTTCCCTCCTGGGAACTTCAGTTCACACCACAGAGTGTGTTCCTGTGGTGAAGACGAAAGAAAAGAGGAGAAGACAGGAGGCAAGCAGACAGGAGGGACGGGAGAACCTAGAAACATCCCCAAGGACACAGCAGACAGGTTGTCCCCCTGCAGTGGGTGACTGAGAGGTTGAAGTGTGGAGTAGAGGTCATTTTTACATTATTATCATGGGCATTTATTATGTTAATTTAAAAATTTAGTAACACAATAGAAGGAACATTCGTTTATAAGAGCTGAAAGGCTCTGTGTTGGTAGAGTACTGGCTTAGCACGCACAAGAGCCCTGGGTTCAGTCTCCAGCACCACATAAAACTGGATTGGTGGAGAACAATACCTGTAATCCCAGCACTCAAGGTGGAGGCACCAAGATCAAGAGTTCGAAGTCATCCTCGTCCACATAACAAATCTGAGAAAAGCCTGGGCTACATGAGACCCTGTCTCAAAACCAAAATTAAAAAAATATATACATTCTTAAATAAGCTGTAAAGTTGCTAACCCATCCAAATTACCCATTCTTTCTGGTCTTGTCTTCCTCTCTCCCATCACCAAAGAAAGGAATTGCCTCCCTTCCAGTGAAACTCCAACACGCTCAGGTTGCCTGTCTCTTCGTAGGGCCCTGTAGGTGTCCTTGGAAGCCAGGTTGATTTCACTAGCACAAATGTGGTTGCAAGGTAGGAGGCGAGGACAGGAGAGTGGGTACATAAATAATATTCTCGCTGGTCACAGAGCATAAATGGCCTCAACAGTCAGGCTAGCTTTGTGAAGGTTCATGGACAGGCTCAGAGCATCCTGTGTCCAAGAGGCACAAACCTGGGGCGCCAGCACCTCATTACTACAATACATTGTCTCCATCCTGGACAGAATGTCCAGCAAGCACAAGTGTCTACCCAGCTCCAAAGTAGAACCACTTGTCTTAGAAGCGTTTCTGGGTCCACCTGCCATGTAAAACAACTGTCCCTATAGTCTCACAAAGACTCATTTTGTTCCATTTCCTCAGGCTAAATTTGAGGCGAAGAATCCACTTTCCCTGTGATTGGTATTGTAGCAGCATGTCTTTACCGAACCTGAATCCTGGCTTTGAGCGTGTTATTAAAGTCTCTCAGGCTTAATTTCCTCACCTGAAAAATGGGCGTAGCACCAAGCTCCCTAAACTCCAAGATGTTGCTTGGCAGCACTTCTGAACTCGGCCTATTGGTTTGAGTGTAAACTCATCTCGTCGCTTCTTTTGTCCTGGAAGACCAGGGAACGGTGGCTGGTATTTTTAATGCCATTATTAATGGTCACCACTTCAGTCATGTGGTTTAAATAATTCACCAATTTAAATATCACAGTTCAATGGTTTTTAATATATTCACAGAATTGCACATCCATCACTACAATCACTTTCATAATAGCCCCTCAAAGAAAGCTCCGTGCCCATGAGCCATCATTCTGTCTCCCTTAAGTTTGCCTGTTCTGTATATTTCATTCAAATGGAATCCTATACTACATCTAGGATTTCCTTTTTTTCACTTAGCATCATGTTTTCAAGGCCCATCCATATTAGAGCAGGTATCAGTGCTTCGTTTCATTTTTGGCCTGGTCAAAATCCTGCATATAAATATGCATCATTTTATCTACCCATTCAGCCACTGGCCGTTGGTTGTTCTTATCTTTTTGTTGTGTAGTTACTTCCTCTGAGTCAAAACATTCCGTCCTGAAGACTTAGGAAGTAAGTGAAATTTACAAGGCTCAGGAAGTACACAAAACTTACAGTCTCAGAAAACTCCAAAAATTGAAAAGATTCCCAAAGCCTCTCCCCAAGATTATACAAACAGAAACAAATACTGGGTAGAGGAGACTCTCTGACCAGAGGGCTGCATACAAGTCACACAGGGAGCTCCAGGGTGTGAGCTCTCATGAGTCATCGTCCATGCTGGTGTGGGTTTCTTGGTAATGCCTTGCTCCCCTTGTCCCCAAAAGCAATCCCCAAAAAAATCACACTACACTTGCTTGTAATTTTTCCTTTGATCTATCACCAACACCTTAGAAGATGCGTAGACATTTGTCCATATCTGCCTAGAAAAAAAAAATCACATGATCCTTTTATTTATTATAGGCCTAAAACTGCTAGGAACAGTGTCTAGGGGCTTGCATTTTCTTTCCTATTGGCTATGTAGCTAGAGGTAGAATTACTGGCTCATGTGTTCATTTGGATACTACACTTACAGATTTTTGTAGATCTGTAAGAGTATTTTCATAAAGTAACTGCACTGTCTACAGCCAGATCACCCTGAACAACTCCAGTCTCATCTAAAGTGACTGCCCCATCCTGCAGTCCTGTCTGTAGTGTGTGGTGGCTCTAATTTCTCTGTGTCCTTGCCAATGGCCATTGTTATCTTTCTTTCCTATTACAGTCATCCTCCTGAGAGTGAATTAGAGTCCTTCTGTGCCTTGGGTATCACTGTCTAGATACCAGTGATGTTGACCATCTTTACCTGTTGGCAATTGATACATCCTATTTGGGGAAGAGTCTTATTCAAATCCTTTGCCATTTAAAATTGGAATATCATTGTTTATTGTTTAATTATAAAAGTTCACTGTATAGTCCAGATTGAAGTGCCTTAATGAACTGGACCAGCAGGTCATTCTTCAGTGACAGGCTCCTGAGAGAGAGGACCAGGAGGTCGGAAGATAAGGAGACAAGTTTGGGATGGGGAGGTCTTGAACAAGCTGTATCTTGCACCGAGCAGGCTTATTAAGAAAGTACAGCATCTTATATACAGTTTTTAGGGGAGAAGTGGGACCGTGTCGGGGGACAGCTATCATCCAAAGGGACAAAGTAAGCAGGAAGCTAATCAAGCACTATTGCAGAAAGGGGATACAGGGTGTCTAAGCACAGACAAACACGTAGCAGTCTTGGGACTTGTAACCACAGACCCTTAGGAAGAGTCCAGTTCTTAGGAAAAAAACCCCAAAGCTGAAACTCCCCCAAGGCCCTGGCCCTAGGCCATTACTGGCTCTGCCAAGTATATTCCAGGTTTTAGAAAAGAAACTATGTCCTTCCCTATGCATCAGGGCCTCAGGGAAAAGCTCCCAAGGCCCTGGCCCCAGGCTATTACTAACTTTGCCAAGCATATTTCTGGTTTAGGGAAGTATCTATATTGTCCATAGATCGGAGCCTCAGGGAAAGTCTGGAATCAGCCTAGCCCTCAACACCTTACCGGATAAATGATTACAAATATTTTCTCCCATTTATGGACTGTCTTTTCCTTTTCTTAATGTGTCCTTCGAATCACAAATGCTAATTCTGATGGAGTCCAACTC